GCTATGGCTGATGAGAAAGAGGTTCCTGCCTGTGTTCTCTAGGATTTTTCCTGTCTCACATTTAGGTCTTTCATCCATTTTGAACTTATTTTTGTGTATGTTGTAAAAAAAAATGGTCCAGTTTCATTCTTTTGCATGTTGTTGTCCAGTTTTCCCAACACCATTTGTTGAAGAAATAGTCTTTTTTCCATTGGATATTCCTTCCTGCTTTGTCGAAGATTAGTTGGCCATATAGTTGTGTTCATTTCTGGGTTTTCTATTCTGTTTCATTGATCTATGTGTCTGTTTTTGTGCCAATACCATACTGTCTTGATAACTTGTAGCTTTGTACTATAACTTGAAGTCTGGAATTGTGATGCCTGCAGCTCTGCTTTTCTTTCTTCTGCTGGCTTTAGGCTTCATTTGTTGTTCTCTTTCTAGCTCCTCTTGGTGTAAGGTTAGATTATGTATTTGAGGTTTTTCTTGCTTTTTGAGGTAGGCCTGTATTGCTATATACTTCTCTCTAATGACCACTTCTGCTGCAAGCCAAAGGTTTTGGACTGTTGTGTTTTCATGTATTTTTTTTATTTCTTCTTTAATTTCCTGGTTGATCCATTCATTCTTTAGTAGGATGTTCTTTAGCCTCCATGTCTTTGTGGTCTTTCCAAATTTTTTCTTGTGGTTGACTTCAAGTTTCATACTGTTGTGGTCGGAAAATATTCATGGTGTGATCTTAATCTTTTTGTACTTGTTGAGACCTGACCTGTGACTTAATATGTGATCTATTCTGAAGAAGGTCCTATGTGCACTTAAAAAGAATGTGTATCCTGCTGCTTTAGGATGAAATGTTCTGAATAAATCTGTTAAGTCCATCTGGTCCAGTGTGTCATTCAAAGCCATTGTTTCCTTGTTGATTTTCTGCTTAGATGATCCGTTCATTGATGTAAGTGGGGTGTTAAAGTCCATTACTATTATTGTACTGTCATTGAATTCCTTTATGTTTGTTATTATTTTATATATTTGGGTGCTCCCAAGTTGGGGGCATAAATATTTACAATTGTTAGATCTTCTTGTTGGAATGACCCTTTTATTATGATATAGTGCCATTCTTCATCTCTTGTTACAGTCTTTGGTTTAAAATCTAGTTCGTCTGATATAAGTATTGCTACTCTGGCTTTCTTTTGATATCCATTGCCATGAAAAATATTTCTCCCTCCCTTCACTTTCAATTTGCAGGTGTCTTTAGATCTAAAATGAGTCTCTTGTAGGCAGCATATAGATGGCTCTTGTTTTTTAATCCAGTCTGACATCCTGTGTTTTTTGATTGGAGCACTTAGTCTACTTACTTTCAGGGTAATTATTGATAGATATGAAGTTAGTGCCATTTTATTGCTTGTTTTGTCATTTTCTTCTGTGGATTTTCTTTAGTGTTTTTCTCACTCAAAGAGTCCCCTTTAATATTTCCTGTAGGGCTGGTTTAGTGGACACAAACTCCTTTAGTTTTAGTTTGGGAAACTTTTTTTTTTTTTAAGATTTTATTTATTTGAGAGCTAGAGAGTGAGAGAGAGAGAGAGAGAGAAAGAGAAGGAGCAGGGAGAGGGGCAGAGGGAGAGGGAGAAGGAGACTCCCCACTGAGCAGGGAACCAGACATGGGGCTCGATTCCAGGACTCTGGGATCATGACCTGAGCCAAAGGCAGATGCTTAACTGACTGAGCCAACTAGGTGCCCCTAGTTTGGGAAACTCTTTATCTCTCCCTCGATTCTGAATGGTAGCCTTGCTGGATAGTGCATTCTTGGCTGTAGATTTTTCCCATTCAGCACGTTGAATATATCATGCCACTCTTCTCTGGCCTGCCAAGTTTCTGTGGAGAGCTTTGCTGCTACCCTTATTTATCTTCCCTTGTAAGTTAGGGACTTATTTTGTCTTGCAGCTTTTAGGATTTTTTCTTTATATTTTGCAAATTTAAATTAGGTCTTGGTGCTGGCCTACTTTTGTTGATTTTGATGGGAGTTCTCTGTGCTTCCTGGATTTGGAAGTCTGTTTTCTCTCCCAGATTAGGGAAGTTTTCAGCTATAATTCCCTCAAACATTCTGCCCCCTTTTCCCTATTTTCTTCTTCTGGGACTCCTATGATAGGAATGTTATTATGTTTCGTGGAATCATTGAGTTCCCTAATTCTACTTTCTGATTTCTTTCTCTCTTTTGATCAGCTTTTTTCCATAATTCTATCTTCTGTATCACTTATTCGTTCCTCTGCTTCTTCCATCCTTGTGTTTATTGCATCCAGTTGGTTTTGAATCTCAGTTATTGCATTTTTCATTTTGGCCTGATTGGTTTTAAGCTCTTTTATCTCTGTGGCGAGGGACCTGCTCATGTCTTTTATGCTTTTCTCAAGTCCAGCTAGTATCCTTATGATTGTTGTTTTAAATTCTGGATCAGGCATATTACTTGTATCTGTTTCCATTAGAACCCTGACTGTGACCTTTTCTTGTTCTTTCTTTTGGGATAAATGCCTCCATCTTGGCATTTTGTCTAGGTCTCTGTCTTCTGCGTGTTAGGAAGCCTGATATGTTTCCTACTCCTGAGAGTAATGGCTTTATGAAGAGGTCATATAATGCCCCAGACCTGGTGCTTTAGGAAATGTCTCTGGTGTATGCTGTGTACCCTCTGCTGCTGTGTTATGGCTCCTCTATCCCTCAGGTCAGTCCTCTGCAGAGTTTCTCCTTGTCTGTAGTGGGGAGTGTTTGGACCTTGGCCACACTGTGGCAAGTTTTAATTAGGTGTGCTCTGGTCTGCTTGTTAAAAGAGACCTGAAGCTATTTCCACTAGAGGTGAAGCTCTGCAGTACTCTATGGTCAGTAGACTTGGTGTTATGTGGGGGTTTGTGCTGGTCTTCAGGGGGAGGGGCCACTGTGCTGGTTCTCAGATACACTTGCCTGAGAAAAGCAGCAGAGTACCAGCAGAGTACAGGGCATCAGGTTTTGGTGTAAGCAATTTAAGCAGCCAGTTTTGGTGCTGTGCTGTTTACTGAAGATGGTTTATGCTTAGGGGTGGGAGAGGGAAATGGCACCAGCCAGCTCCTTTGTTCCTGGAGAGGGGAGTTTGTACTTACTGCTATCAGGGAAGCCCTCCCTGAGCAAATAATTTATCCTGTGTGTTTAGAAAAACAGACAAATAATCTCCTCATGGGATTTCTTCACTCTTTGTTGTAAGTTACCTCCCAAATACACAATCTTGTTCATGTCAAAAGCCCCCCCCCGCCCCTCCATGGCCAGTGCAATTCCAAATTATTCTTGGTGAAACTGTGCCAGTTAGAATGTATTAGTATTATAAGGAGAAAAGATATACCTAGAAGAGGCACAATTTTAGATTGAGAAGACTTTGAGAGAACTGATATGGTCTTAAGGTAGTGTAAGGGGTGCCTGGGTGACTCAGTTGGTTGAGCGTCAGCTCTTGGTTTCAGCTCAGGTCATGGTCTCAGGGTCCTGGGATCAAGCCTCACATTGTGCTCTGCACTCAGCGAGGAGTGCTTGAGGATTCTCTCTCTCCCTCTGCCCTTCCTCCTTGTTCTTTCTAAGAAATAAATAAATCTTTTTTTAAAATTTAAATTCCATTAGCCAACATATAGTACATCATTACTTTCAGATGTAGAGTTCAGTTATTCATCAGCTGCATATAACACCCAGTGCTCATTGCATCACGTGCCCTCCTTAATGCCCATCACCCAATTACCCCATCCCCCTACCCCCCTCCCCTCTCCAGCAACCCTGTTTGTTTCCTAGAGTTAAGAGTCTTTCATGGTTTGTCTCCTTGATTTCTTCCCATTCAGTTTTCCCTCCCTACCTCTATGATCCTCTGCACTGATTCTCATATTCCACATATGAGTGAAACCATGTAATTGTCTTTCTCTGATTGACTTATTTCACTCAGCATAATACCCTCCAGTTCCATCCACATCAATGTAAATGGTAAGATTTCATCCTTTTTGATGGCTAGTCAATCCATATTCCATTGTATGTATATACCATCCTTGTTATCCATTCATCTTTCGATGGACATCTGGGCTCTTTCCATAGTTTGGCGATTGTGGACATTGCTGCTATAAACATTGGGGTGCAGGTGGCCCTTCGGATCACTACATTTGTATCTTTGGGGTAAATCCCTAGTAGTGCAATTGCTGGGTCATAGGGTAGCTCAACTTTCAACTTATTGAGGAACCTCCATACTGTTTTCTACAATGGCTATACCAGCTTGTATTCCCACCAACAATGTAGGAGGGTTCCCCCTTCTCCACATCCTTGCCAACATTTGTTGTTTCCTGACTTGTTAATTGTAGCCATTCTGACTGGTGTGAGGTGGTATCTCATTGTGATTAAAATAAATAAATAAATCTTAAAAACAAAATTAATGATATCTGGCTTCATTTTAGGTGGCACTTCTGCTTGATGCCCCAAAACATCAAGACCCACGACAGGATGGACACTGGGACCACAAATTATGAGTAGTGTGCCAATGTTACTGTTGCCCAAGCTAAATCTCACAAGAGACAAAGGAAAATAACAGGTAATTAGAATTCAGAGATTCTTCACCATCATCTTCAATTAGCTGCCACAAAATTTCCCAGTACTGAACCTCTCCTAAAATTCTTACTTCTCCCAATCCCTCCAGGTATCTGAAATAGAAAAAAAGGGAAAAAAAAAAAATTCTCCCTAAAAAGATTTCTCCCTTCTTTTTCGTCTTTTAAATAACAATCTCGGGGCGCCTGGGTGGCTCAGATGGTTAAGCGTCTGCCTTCGGCTCAGGTCATGATCCCAGGGTCCTGGGATCGAGCCCCACGTCGGGCTCCTGACTCAGCGGGGTGTCTGCTTCTCCCTCACCCTCTGCTTCTCCCACTGCTCATGCTCTCTCTATATATCTGTGTCTCAAATGAATAAATAAAATCTTTAAAAAAAATAAAATAAAATAAATAACAATCTCAACTGTTGGCAGTTTCTGAGGAATTCAAAGAACATCAATAAAATGTAGGCCAAATTAAATTTATAATTAGAAAACAGATACTATTTTTGGTATTAAGCTTAAGAATAAAATGCAATCAAGTCTACATAAATATTTATAGACACTAAAGCACAAAGCAGCCAATCTAGCTACACCTAATGTTTAATGACTGTGGCTGAGTCTCTGTTCCCTAGCAAAACAGACTAAGCTCCTGATGGGCAGGGACCGTGTTCTGGTCAGCTGTGCATTTCTCCACATATAACACACTGCTCACTCAAAGGGACACTCACAGAATCTGTTGAATTCAATTAAAAGAGAAAACAGTATTTTTAAAAAAAATCAATGGTGAAAAAAAAAAGAAAAATCAATGGTGATTGCTAAGGTGACCTCTAAACCCAGATGTTCAAATAACACCATTCTTGCCCATTCTGCAATGAAACGATCAGAGGGAAAAGAGAGAGTATTAAACCAAATAACAGCACTGAAACCTCCAAGCCTATATAAGGAAGAATCACACCATGTTTAGCCAGTGAAAAGGACTAGTATTTAAAATATATTTTAATGAGAACACTTTCTCACTACCTTTAAATAAAAATGATTTACATTTTTTAATATGAAACTGCTCTGGCCTTAGGACTTAACTGCTTCCTGGTCTATGGGGTTTAGATGCCACTGCACCACTAATTCCCCAGTGCTCTTGAGGCACGTGTTAGACATGTCCTCCTCTGCTGGAAGTCCTTGGGGCAACTTCAGGGGCTTGATCCTGTGACATAAGAAAATGCTTTTAGAATTATATTAGGTAACACATTTTAAAAAATCGCTGACAAACAACAAACCTTATCAAATGTTTAACCACTTTCAGTTTTGCGTTCACTGAAGGGATATTCTTGTGAACTTGAGGAGTATGTGCCTAGAAAGAAAGGAAACCATGTAATGGATCAGTTTCAGAGCAGATGGTCCCATGTTTCAGCAAAATGTGAAAATGAAGGCTTATTTTGTCTAAATCAAAGTTTCAAATAAATTACACTAAATAATACATTTAAACAAAAGAAACTGTAAAAATACACCTTAAAGTTTGAGAATTATAAAATTTAAAGCAAATTTAAACAACACGTAAGATGACTTAAATAGTTGCATACTTTTTCTAATCCAAGCATCTTTATTATATCTTTTTCCCAATATGGACGTCTTTTTGTACTTTTTATTCTGGTAACAATATGCAGTTTATGAGGGTGCTGTGGATCCCCACCGTATTTTTCATGATCTGCAGGTGAAGGCTGAAATACCTAAGAAAGGAGAATTATAAATGGTAAATTTTCAACTTCTATGTATCTATGCTTCTAAGTATCTCCTTTTTTTCCTTAAGAAAAAAAAAAAAACCCAAACAACCACATAACGATCTCATCCCAAATCTTTCTATAATCCTATCCTCAAATTGAACATTTATACCCCTCTGATTACTTAGATAGAAAAAGTCTAATAATTCCATACTCTGAAAAAAGTATCACACAGGCAAAAACTGTTTTAAGAGTGAAGCAGGAGCCACCAGAGGACACTGAAGAGTTCAAATGTCAGGAGACTGTATGAGCACTGTATAAGCTGGGCACAGCTGCATCCCTTCACCGCGTTCAATCAGGGGCACAAAGCTAAGCTTACAATGACAATAACACTTGAGGATCATAAAAAAGTACGTACAAAGTACTAGAAGAGTACAAATGACTGCCTTTGAAGGATTAGAAACGGCTCCACAAAGCTGCTATGTGAACTGATTCTCTAAGAATCAAGATGTTCCAGTAAGCTATCCCACGAAAACCTTCCCTAAGTACATAAAATGTACTGAATAAGGATGTACATGGTAATACTACTTGTAATACTGAAAAATTTAAAGGGCACATCCATGTTCCTCATAGAATAACTAAATGAATTAGGATGCATACATTCTAAATAAAACTAACAAACTAAAAATAACAAAACCAAACAAAATACAATATAACTAAACTATGATGTATCCAATGGGATACAGTGCTGCCATTAAAACAAATAACAGCTTACTATCTTAGCAGCTATTAATGCTGAAGAAAGCCATAATACATTCTTGAGCAAAAGAAAAAAAAATCCACACAACCATGTGTAATAGGATCTTTTTCTTTAAAGATTTTATTTATTTATTTGAGAGAAAAAGGAGATAGAGAGAGAGTATGAGCAGGGGGAAGGGGCAGAGGGAAAGGGAGATGCAGACCCCCTGCCTGACTCAGGGCTCAAACCCAGGACTCTGGGATCATGACCGGAGCCAAAGGCAGACGCTTAACTGATTGAGCCACCAAGGCGCCCCTGTAGTAGGCTCTTGTATTTGTTTCATGTGTACCAAAATACACAGGTTTGTATATATGATACATTACATAAATACTGATTCTAAGAAATCATGTTATACACACACACACTTATGTATGATACATTACATAAATACTGATTCTAAGAAATCATGTTATACACACACACACTTATGTATGTAAAGGTTTCAAAGATATTAGATCAAGAGTCATATCTCTGGGGAATCACACACACAGAAGATGGCACTTTAATCAAAAAGCATATAATTCAATCATGAAAATAATATTGTAGAAACTTATCCACTGAGAGGCTCCCATTATATTGCTAAATGAAGAAAGCAATTAGAGAAACATTATACATGAGATGATTCACATCTTTAAAAACATACAACAGAAAAGGATGTGGAAGGTATTGACAGTAGCTGTCTCCAGGTAGGTGGGATTAAGGGTGCTTTTCAGTTGTTTTTGCTTGTCTGTATTTTCTAGGGGTTTTGAAGAGACGCAGGGTGAGAAGAATGGTGGAAGACAGAGTATGGGGCAGGCATGCCAAAGAAAAGGAGAGAAGATATAAAGAAACTGTGTAAAGAGCCTGAAATATTTGGGAAAACCAAGTGGTTCTATGTGGCTAACGTAGGAAAAAAACATGAAAAGCAATGTAGCTAGTGTTTTCCGAAAGAATGATATATACACATAAATCTAGCAGTTCTCTCACAAAGATTCCAAGTTGCAATAGTCAAGACAGAAAGTGAACACAGACCCACACAGACAGTGTCTGAGCAGGAAGAAGACTCATTGTTTTCTGAGGACAATGGTGATATGAAAACACAAACTATTAAGGCAAAAAACCATAAGCAGGAATAAACAGATTCTAAGATGATAAAAACCGACTACTACAAAGAACAGTGGTACATTTTAAAAAAGAGAATCATTTAGATAAATTCTACCATGCTTTTTTTAAACTCTGCCCTACCACCAACATCCACAAATAATTTAATATAAAAGTTTTCAAAATTACAAAAGTAGGTATCTTTTAAAACAGCACATGCTTAAAAAAATAGTAACACTAACCGCCCCCCACCCCCAACCCTTCTTCTTACTTTATCTGGAATTCTTGACTTGGTAAATTTGTGACGAATCCAATCCGTGCAAATAAGAGACTCCACACCTTTTGTCACAGTCTAAAACATGATATAAACACTTTTTTTAAGAACTCTGTCTAGTGCAGAAATCCATACCCACCAATTTTTAGGTGACAAAAGTGTTTTTACCTAACCTATAATTATCAAACATTTATCTCAGCCCCTTAGCTGAATGAATATATTCATCTTACCACTAACATTAGAAAGCAAAAAACTCATATAAATATAGACTTTTCTGTTTTTTTTTTTCAAGTTTTTATTTAAATTCCAGTTTGTTAACATACAGTGTAATATTTCAGGTGTAGAATTTAGTGATTCCTCACTTACATAAAACAGCTGGTGCTCATTGCAAGTGCCCTCCTTAATCCCCATGACCCATTTAGCCCATCCCCTACCCACCTCCCTTCTCATAACCCTGTTTGTTCTCTAGAGTTAAGAGTCTGTTTTTTGGTTTGCTCCTCTTTTTTTTTTTTTCCCCTATGTTCATCTGTTTTGTTAACTTAAATTCCACATATGAGTGAAATAGAGACTTCTTGACCAGAGGTTGGCAATATTTTTCTGTAAAGGACTAAACATGAAGTTATTTCCAGCTCTGGGGCTGTATGGTTTCCATTGCCAAGTCTCAACTCTGCCACTGGGGGGCAAAAGGAGCCCCGAACAATATGTAAACAAGTGGGCGTGGCTACATTCCAATAAAGCCTGATTTAAGAAAACAGGTGGGCTGAATTTGACCTGCAGACTGTAGTTTGCCAACCCCTGCTCCACACGATGTGCAATAATAACCTTCAACAATACACTGTAAAAAGAAATGAGTTTACGGTTGTCTTTCTGGTCCCTACAATGCCATCCTACTAGTTCCTATCTCTTGTTCCCCTTCGGCAATCTTCTAGTCCTGCTGCTCTCAGTCGGCTAAAGAGAAAGGATTCACTGCCAATCCCTCATATCTGGAAACTCCTCTCTGGATAGGCAATATTCATTCCCTTCATGCCCTTTCTGTCCTGCTGAGGTCCACACATAATTAGAGAGTAAGGAGGAGCGAATGAGCGAGGGAAAGGAAAAATATGGGCTTCTAATCCTGGTTCTGTGCTTATCATCTGTGAGAAATGAGACACTTATCCTCTCAATTTCCTCAGCTATTTTATTTATTTATTTTTTTAAAGATTTTATTTATTTATTCGTGAGAGACAGAGCGAGAGAGAAAGGCAGAGGGAGAAGCAGGCTCCCAAGGAGCAGGGAGCCTGATGTGGGACTCGATCCCAGGACCCTGAGATCATGACCTGAGCCGAAGGCAGACGTTTAACCATCTGAGCCACCCAGGCGCCCCCTCAGCTATTTTAAAAGGAAATAATACTGACCCCACAGGATTAATCTAAGGTTAAGGTAATCTATGCAAAGCACCTAATATTATTATCTATAGCCAGCAGCATGCCTGTATCTAGACTCTGGCCCTCATGAATAGATTAGGCTGAGCTGCTATAATTTCTGTAAGAAAGACTAGAAGGAAATACATGAAAATACAAGCATGAATGGTTTCTGGGAGAGTGCTTTTCTTCTTTCTGCTCTTCCACAGTTTTCTATTTTTCTATGATTGAAGATATACTCTTTTCGTAACTGAAAGAGAATAAACCCTTAAACTTTAAAAAGATTAAGGGGAAACCAATACTAGCCATTTTTTACCAGCATGTTCTCCAGGAAAAATCTTTTGTGATTTCAAATCTTTAGTGATGAAACAGCAGATAAACCATAAATAAGACTGATCCTCAACATTAAAAAACATATATAAAAAAAGGAACTGTGCAGTTAAACCTGCCCAGTTGTTTTATTCATTAAAAAAGAGAAAGAAACAGTTCTTAAAGAATAAAAAAAAAAAGAGAGATAATACTTGAAACACTTACTTGGAGTCTGCCTGGGGGCCTCTGAACTATTGAACGCAAAATCCCTGCCATGAGTGTGGTGACTGTTCTCTTCTGAGGCTATGACAAGCAGAAAATTGATCCGTGAGTCAAATGTGTCTTGGAAATGGCCAGGTGCCCACTTCTGTATTATTAAAAAACTAAAGAACAAGTTAATTATAAAGTTGGTTAAAGTTTAACAGTGAAATCTTATTATTTTAATACAATAAGGGTAAGAATTAAGTTATAATAAATGTGTTATTTGGAGTTCAGCAAAACCATACATAGTAATTATACATTAACCACATCCTATTTTTGCCAAATGAGTTAGAACCTAGGTTGACTCAACAAAAATGGGCAAAGGAGGTTATTATTGTTTAAAAAATTCTCTTCAACAATAAGCACAAAGAATGCTTTGTTATAGAATCACATAAAATGAAAGAGCTAGAAGAGACTGAAGAAATCCCGACTCCTAGAACTAGAATTAACAACCGTCTTACCTTATGTATGCGGAAAATGAAAAATCAATCATTTACTCAAGGGCATCCAGCTATCCAAGGAGTATGTGGTCTGGAACCCAATTTTAGTTCCTGGTCCAGCGTATTTTCACTAAATCATAACATCTTTCTGTTAAGAAGTAAACCATAACTTTCTGTTTTGCATATTTGTACTGTTAAACTATTCTTAATGAACATGCATTGCTTCTGTGATGTAGAAAAAGTCATGTTTATTTAGACACAAATAATTACAACCTACTGTACTGATGTATACTAAAAACAGATTAGGTTTATGAACTACATGTATATTTTGGATAAGTTATTTAATTTGTGTGCTTCAATTTTTTCCCCAGAAGAATATAATACCTACCTTGCAAATGAGTTATTCTAAAAACACCTAAAACAGTATTTAGCACATAAGAAGCCCTCAATAAATGGTAGCTTTTACTATGATAAAATTATTAAATTATTACAAAACTGTAATAACACATCAAAATAGAATACAATGGTGTATTTCAGTGAATCCACCAGATTCTGGCTCACTCAAGCTCTGCAAGTCTTTCCTGTGATGTGGAAAAAGCAATGAAGTTGTGGGAATCAATGCAAGATGTCCCATTAAAAGAGCCAGACTTCAGAAAAATTTTCAGCAACTGAACCAGTCTCTCAAAATTAATTATGAATAGGTTTTAGAAGAGTTAACTACTAAATCCTTAGTGCCATGAAATCCAGAATTTTGTCTTGCTCATTTTCTACTCTCAGCATCTAGCACAGTCTCTGATGAACAGTGTTTGTTTCTGAATGTCTGAATCAGTTAATGGGTTAGACCTATGGTCTGCTCAGCTCAGAATTCAGAAGTACCTCAAAATTTCATAACTCTCATCCAGACTTCAGACTTCAAACATTGCCATATAGCATAACAATTTCTAGTTCAAATCATCAGCCATTGCTTGGCTGGTTGTTTATATACATTTTGTATCAAGGCTGCCTTAGAAGAAATGCTTAATTTCCTTAGAAGAGATGCTTATTTAATCCTCAGGCCCTTCAATCAAATAGGTAATGATAAAATATTTCCTTTACCATACTTCTTCCTCCCAAGTTAAACATAATATACCAACCCAACTCATTTGGCTTCACACTATGTTACTCTTTTTCTTATCACTTAAATTTCAACAAAAGCCTCCTCACTGGCCGTCTGGCTTCCATTCTAACTTCCCTAAGATCTCTTCTTCATGGCAGCAATCATCTAATTAAAATCCTAAATCAGATCATGTCAACCAACTCCTCTTCTCAAAACCTTCCAACGAGCCAGGTTTCTCACTGTTGGAGTGAGAAGTAACATATAAACAAGAGGAGAAAGCCAGAATAAATCCATGTGATCCAATGGCACAGGATTAGAGTTTGAGCTCATGTTTAGCTAAATATAGATAGTGATGGATACAGAAATAATCACAGACATCAATGAATACGTGGGTTAGCTCCGTTAGCTAAGAAGACTAAAAAGCAATGGAATCCCCGTAGCAATGAGCACACCCAGCACCCTGATCTTAGCATTCTCTAATAAAAGAAACCAGGGTTCCATGGAGAAATGGCTGATTGGAGGGCTACCTCAGGGAATATATAAAGATGAGCCTGGAGCATCTTGTAGCACTAGAAAGGAACTACTCAAAAAATCAAAATGATGAGAGTATGTCAAAGGGACACAGGAACCAAGTGAAGAGCTCCCAATGGCAAAAAGCTGGACCAATATGAGCTACAAAGTAAGTAACAAAGTACTGGCTTATAATCCAAACCATAAAATAACCATGATTCCATATTCATATAAATAAATGAAGAAGTAAATTAATGGGAGAGAAGAAACAAATCTCCCTTATAGAAGAATTCCAAATAACTTATGCAGAGACTTCCCTCTCAAAAAGGTGGAGCAAAACCACTCATAAGTATGGGCTATGCTTAACAACTTGCTCCCAGAGTACAGTATAGAAAGGGGGAAAATAACATTGTACTAGAGAAACCTCACAAACACTATGTCAGCCAGGTGATCATGGTAAATATCAACTATGATAAAAGTCAAGTTGATAGCATGCACGCTTGATATGATGGAATGAGAATGGCACTTCATGTCTGTGGTCTTCCTCCCAAAAACCCCTAGCATCAGGCTGAGAGAAAAACATCAAACTCCATTTGAAGGACATTGTGGAAATTACCTGACCAGTACCTCTTCAAATACCTGAGTGCCTTAAAACTGTCAAGGTCACCAAAAACAAGGAAAGTGAGATACTGCCATAGTCAAGAGGAACCTAAGGAGCCATGACGACCAAATGGGATTCTGGAACAGTAAAAGGACATCTAGTAAACACTAAGAAATCCAAATGAAGTATGAACTTTGGTTAATGATGTATCAGTATTGATCCATCAGTTATAACGTATGTACCATACTAATGTAAGATGTTAATAAAAGGGGAAATCAGGTGTGGGGTATATAGGAACTCTGTACTATCTTCACAACTTTTCTATAAACCTGAAATTATTCTAAAATAAAAAGTTGATTTATTAAATACCCCAAAAGCTTTAATGCATCGGAGCAACAGCCAGTCCTTAACCCCCACCTCTAGGACTTCATCTCCACTCTTAATCAATACACACACTGGCCCCCTTACAGGTCCTACAAGTTGCCAGGCAGCCATGCTCCTTTGGACGGACTGTTCTTTCTCCTGGAATGCTCCTGATATTCACAGTTAATTCTCTCACTTCCTTCAATTCTTGGCTCAAATCTTTTCTCAGTAGGGCCTATCCTGATTCCATTATTCAACATTTTGACCCACCCCCAAATTGTCAGACTTCTTACTTCACTTGATTTTCTTTCCATAGCATTTATCTTCTAACACAGTTTATTAGGTTTGTTGTTGTCTGTCTTCACCCAGTAACATGTTAATTCCGCAAAGACAATGATTTTTAAATTTTGTTTTGTTTTTGGCCTGCCCTGTCTCTTCACAGATGTATCCCAAGCATATACCTAAAGCAGCACCTGTCATGTACTAGGCACTCAATCAGTTTTTGTTGAATTAAGTTTACAGACTTCAGAAAGTGTGACAGTCAGAAGTTATAAGTTTTAATAAAAAGTAAAGATTATTGTTAATAATAAGGCACACAACTCTTGGACTTTGAAGTAGCTCCCAGTTAATGTCTGAATAGTTTTAGACATCTATTTAATGACAAAAGGAGGGGAAACACTACCGAAAATGCACAACACAGAATTTCCCTTTCAATAAACCGAGATCTCTGAAGGCAATAAATGTCTCTTCTTTTAATTCCTAATGCCTATCAAGTAATAGGCAGTCCCCATCCTCATCCGCGCCCCTTGGCAAAAAGACGCAGAACAGGCAGCTGTGGATAGGTGGCAATCAAAAACATGGTTGGCGAAATTACAGCTCTTGGTAAAATGGTAAATATTTTAACTGCCAACCCGGGAAGGTTTTGCCTTCTAAAATGCAATTAGTTAAGCTTTTATCTTTACTAACAAAAAAATTCAAGTTACACTGATCCCCAGTGGGAAACCGAAATTAATAATAGAACAGAAGCACAGAAACTGCTAAAACAAACCTGAATTCCCTTCCTCACTAAGCTATCCTGCCTAGGCGGCTCGGCCCTTGGACTCCAAGGAGCTCGGGAACTGGGAAACAGGATCTAGTCGACCACTGGGTTTCCGCGAGCCCATGGGACAGTACACGGGCGCAGGCCCATTTAGGTTACTGCGACCCGCAAACTCAGAATCCAATAGGAAAACCAACAGTGATCTCCATAGCGTTCCCAGGTACGTACTCCTGGCAAAAATGCAGTACTCTCCGCCATTCATTCCCTTCTCACCAGCTACTGCTAAATGTTGTTCAAACTGAACTTACCGAATGAAAGAAGAAAAGAGGAGAGATCACCAACCGCTGCATTCAACCCCAGCCGTCACGACGTGCGACAACTGTGACCCCGCGCACTTTAGTTCCGGCCATGTCCCGCCCATTCAACGGCCATAAAGAGAGCGCCGGCGCACTGATGTCACGTGATCGCCCCCGGAAGCGCTGCCGGCTGGCTAGGCTCTGGTTGAGCTTGGGGTGCAGGGGAGTTTCGGAACTATGGCGAAGTCCGGGAAGGAGCTGGATCCCCAGAGCGTGGCTGCATGCACGGTGTTAAAGCGGGCGGTAGAACTAGACTCGGAGTCCCGGTACCAGCAGGCTCTGGTGTGTTACCAGGAGGGGATAGACCTGCTCATGCAGGTTCTCAGAGGTGAGCAGGGAGCGGTGGAGAGAGGACTAGAGGAACTGGATCCCGCTGTGTCTGGGGCGGAGTGAAAGTTAAAAATCCTTCTTGTGCACCACTAGGAAGCAGTCAAATACAGAAGGTGGATATTCTACATAACAAGTGGACTGGTTTCTTTTATATCTTTAATAGATTGATGTCATCAGAAAAGAGGGACAATACTCTAGATTTTTAAGAGACAATAAAATGTAATATATAAACCTTGGTAGGACTAGTTTTGAACGAAATGTAAGAGACATTTTTGGATCAGTTTGGGAAGTTTAAATATGGATTGGGTAACACTCAAATTACTGATTTTGTTAAGCAGTATGGTTTTGTCGAAAACTGTCTTTGATTTTTAGAGATGTAGACTGAAGTGTCTTGGGAAGAATTTGTCATGATGTCTGAATTTAATTTTAGGGGAAAAAAACAGTTGGAGCATGTGGCAAAATGCTAACAACCCTTAAATCTATGTGATGGGTAATAAGGGTGTTTATTACACTATTATTACTTTTCTGTTTAGGTATTTTGGTTAGAAGTAAACAAAAATAAAATCACGTAGCGGTAAAAGAAAAAAGAATTCTAAGAAACGTGTGTACTGAAATTCAGTGTGAGAAATGCATAGTGGGTGAGGCAGCGAGACTTTATCTGTCATGTAGTTATTCAATGTTGAGAAGTACCCAAATAACCATTAACAACTAGTACAATCCCTGGCCTACTATCTCCCCTGTGTGCCCTTTAGCCTAAGTGTTACAGAAGCTTTGAAAAGACAGCAGAGGGCGCCCTTCAAGGTTGGGTGCTTTTGTCAGAACTGTAAAACTACAGGGGCGCCTGGGTGGCTCAGTCGGTTAAGCGTCCGACTTCAACTCAGGTCGTGATCTTGGGGTTCTGGGATAGAGCCACGCATTGGGCTCCACGCTCAGCGGGGAGTCTGCTTCTCCGTCTCCCTCTGCCACTCCCCCCACTCGTGTGCGCCCACTCTCTCAAATAAAATAAAATCTTGAAAAAAAGAACTATAAAAGTTCTTGGGAAAGCCCATTTGATGATGGTGATGATGATGATGAAGATAAGAGTAGTTACATTTATGAGTGCTGAGTGCTGGCACTGTGTAGAGTACATCAAAATCATGATCTTGTTTCATCCCTACAATTGCCCTATGAGGAAGGAGGTGATGTTATCCTCATTTGCAGCATAACATTAAGCTTCTCCACAATTAGTAGAGTCACAATTGGAGCCCCAAGGCTTAAAAGACTCTGGTATACTGACCGCCAAAAAGAGACAGTGTACAGTGTTGGTCAGGTGGAGCACTGCTAAAGTTCTGGTGCCCTAGGGTTGTCAGGTGGAGCACTGCTCAAGTTTTGGCACTCTGGGAATCTGAATCAGGAGAAGCACAGTTTTGCTCCAGTGTGCTCCGCTGATTCTACAGAGGTTATAGAGAGAGTGATGTAATCTTACAGATTAAGATAGAAATGCAAATAACTCTATATTGGGAGTAAGTGCCAGGAAAGGGTATAGACAAGTACAATGAGGAAATAAACAATTAAAGGTCATTTGGGGGAGGAAAGGTGCAGGTGGCTTTTGACAGGGGCTTTGGAGAAGTAAGTAGAATTTCAGAAATGAAATTCAGCTAAGTGTTTAAATTCTGTTTGTGCTAGTTTACCAAATAAGTGGTTCAGTTTGGTCCCAGCATGTGTCTATAGAGGAAGAGTGAGAAGTAAAGTTTAAAGGTAGATTGAGGCTTGGAACACAGTGTGGATGGCCTTGACCGCCAGATTTTAACTCATTCCATAGACAGGGAGAAACCATTTAAAGTTTTTACAGAGGAGTGATGTAATTAAAGTTGCATGTAGGGATTGTCTCTATTAGGAATATGTTCTCCCAAATATTTGTATAGCATATTCCCTCTCTTTCCTTTCGTTATACAAATATTACCTTCTCTGCTCTTTCTCTGTGTAAAATAAATAAATAAAATCTTTAAAAAGGGGGGGTGCCTGGGTACCTCAGTCGGGCATCTGCCTTCAGCTCAGGTCATGATCTCAGGGTCCTGGGATCGAGCTCCACATCAGGCTCCCTGTTCAGTGGGGAGCCTGCTTCTCCCTCTCCTTCTGTAGCTCCCCCTGCTTGTGTTTTCTCTCTTTCTCTCTCTCTCTCTGTCAAATAAATAAAATCTTTAAAACAAACAACCCCCCCCCCCAAAAAAACAAATATCACCTTCTCTGTGAGGCCTTCCCTGACCTTCTGTATAAAATTACAACCCCATCCTAGGACTCCCTTATCCTTCTTCCTTGTTTTATTTTATTTAATAGTACTTACCACAATCTAACACACGTATTTTACCAATTTACTTTTTTTTTTTTTTAAAGATTTTATTTATTTATTTGACAGAGACACAGCGAGAGAGGGAACACAAGCAGGGGGAGTGGGAGAGGGAGAAGCAGGCTTCCCAAGGAGCAGGGAGCCCGATGTGGGGCTGGATTCCAGGACCCTGGGATCATGACCTGAGCCGAAGGCAGATGCTTACCAACTGAGCCACCCAGGTGCCCCACCAATTTACTTTTATTGTTGTCTTTCCTCCCACTTGAATGACAGAGAACAATTGTGTCTATACTAGGCTTAAACAAGCCAGTACATATATTGTGGTTAATAAAAGAAGTTACACATAAGGAGAGGAAGAGGGCTAGAATGAACCCTGAGGGATCAAAGTTATGATCATGAACTTGTGGTTTTTAATATATATGCAGATGGATAGACACAGAAATAAATGCAGATGTACGTGTGTGTTATTAGCCGTACATATACTTTCTAGCCACGTTGACTAAAAGGGTCTAGAAGTAGTGACTGGACTTCCTTAGTGGTAACGAGTACACTCAGCACCCAGAATTGGATTTCTTCATACCATTCTCCAACAAAGGAACCAGGGCTTCTTGGAAAAATGGTTGATTCCAGGGCTGGGGCAGGGAAGACATAAGATGAGTTTAAAACATTTTGCACCAGAAAGCAAGGAAGTGCTCAAAATATGATGGGTCATGTCGAATGGGTAGGGGCCAGCACAAAGGAGCTCTCAAAGCCAAAGCTGATAAAATTGGAACAAGAAAATAATAGTGTTGCCATTTGCAATGACATGGATGGAGCTAGAGAGTATTATGCTAAGCGAAGTAAGTCAGAGAAAGACAAATAACCATATGATTTCACTCATATATGAAATTTAAGATACAAACCAGCAGAGAGGAAAAAAAAAAAAAAAGAGGGAGGCAAACCACGAAACAGACTCATAACTATAGAGAACAAACTGATGGTTACCAAAAGGGAGGTGCCTAGAGGGATGGGTTAAATAAGTGATGGGGATTAAGGAGTACACTTGTGATGAACACTGGGTGATATATATGGAAGTGTTGAATTACTATATTGTAACCTGAAACTAATATTACAATGTATGTTAACTAACTGGAATTTAAATACAAACTTTAAAAACCAATAGTATTGGATTACAACCCACAGACTAAATACGCATGAGTGCATATTGATATAAATCGCTCACTGCATAAATAAATAGATGGAGGAGAAGGGATAGCTCTTCCTTACAGTAGCATTCCAAATTAATAAATTAAATAGGAATGATGGAAATAGAAAATCTCTGTTTGACAGACACTCTAGTGATAATTGTTGCAGGCGAGGACCATCAATGGATGCTAAAATTAGTGGGTCAAAGTGATGAGAAACAAGGTATCTTCCCACAAGATACTTACTAATTACAAAGGACAAAATAGTGATTTACAGCGGAGTAATCTTCAATTACCATGTGATCAAAGTTAACATTGCCAGTAATAACACATATCAACATCATGTACCCACTGAGAAGGGCATGCTTTCATGATTTTCTTGCCAAAACGGCATAACCTCAATCTAATCATGAGAAAACACCAGCAGCCCCAAATGAGAGACATCCTACAAATAACTGAGCACGGTTTTCCCCAAATGTCAAAATCATAAAAGGTAGAGAGAAGCCAAGGACCTATTACAGATTGGAGGAGACCAAGAAGACATGACAAGTAAATGCTGTGTAGGATCCTGAACCAGAAAACAAACTTTCTTTAGTGGGAAAATTGGTTTGTGGATGAGTTAATAGTGTATCAGTGTTAATTTCCTAACTCTGATAATTGTACTATACTTACATGATATGTTAATATTAGGGGAGTCTGGGTGAAAGGGTACTGTACCATTGTATTGCAATTTTTATATAAATACAAAATTAAAATATTTTTAAAACTCGGAGTTTAAACATGAAATTATTATGGAAAATATAAGCAATATCAAAAGGAAGGAATGAAGAAACCAGAAGTGATTTGGTGACTGATTGGGTTTTGGGGCGTGGGGCTTGGGGTAAAATTTTATTGATAATGTTATTCAAAAAAAATACTTTACATTTTTGGGGTGGCTGGGAAAATGAACTATAATGGGGAAGTCTGGAAGAGAAGCTGGTTTTGTGGAAGAAAGATAGGTATTGTTTGCTATTTTTGATTATGCTAAGACTTCAGACTTGTGGTTGATTAGGACAAAATAGTTCTCAGACTCACGTTTGACCTGTAATAAGCCATCTTTGTCACCTCAGCAAATTTGGTGTCCCCGCCAGTGAGACACAGTGTCAGAATCTCCACTCCTAAATAAAGCTGTTTCAGAGACTTAGTGTAAAAATGAAGGTCTTGCATGATCAAGGCAAATTTGAGCCCATTTGTGCATTTTAGGACCGAGGCAAACCATGCTTAAGGATAGGAAATTTGTGGAAGACTTGAGAAACTGGAAATAATGCCTGTACTCAGTAGAAAAACTATTTGGAAATTTGAGAATGTATTTTTTAATTTGTAGGTACCAAAGATGATATAAAGAAATGTAATCTCAGAAAACAAATTACTGGCTACATGGATAGAGCAGAAATAGTGAAGAAATACTTGGATCAAGAAAAAGAAGGTAAAGAGGCTGATTTACAGAATGTGTCTATAAGCTATTGTGACAAAGCCCATTTCCTGCAGTGTTTCTGGCTCTGCCTTTTGGAACTCTTTGTGGTCTGGACCGTTTATCCTTGGGAGCCTACAGGTTTACTTTGCATTTCCACTTCCCTATACATAAGCTATCCTTAGCTTTTTTGGGGGGATCCTGGGGGGAAGTGGTTTTCACATACCCTGTTGAGAATCTGATGAGAGCTATACATACTGCAGAACTCTGCATGCTCTTTGAAGGAATTCACAGATCCCCAGGAAGCTTATGTATGGACTGCAGTTGAAATAATACTACACAGAAATAGAGAATGTAAATCCTGTATTTTATTTGTATTTCCCTTTGTAAAATGACCAAAATGTTGAAGTAGCTAAATAAGCTTCTGGGACTTCTTTAGGATTTTGTTGTGAATCAAAACATTTCAGTGTTGCAGTTCCATGACTGGAGATGCTGTAGGTGTCCTTCCCTACTTATTACTAGTTCTCTACTCATGAGCATGCAGATTACAAACATATGTCTATAAATGGTCATCGCCACCTTTGTCTGGCACACTCCGCTTTTTTTAGCCAAAGTTACTACTGCCCTCAAAAAACCAGTGCCTCCAGGGTACCTGGGTGTTGCAGTCTATTAAGTGTCTTACTCTTGGTTTCAGCTCAGGTCTTGATCTCAGGGTCGTGAGGCAGCACAGAGTCTGCTTAAGATTCTCTCTGTCCCTCTGCCCCTTCCCGCCCCCTGCTCTCTAAATAAATAAGTAAATAAATAAATAAAATCTTTCAAAACTTTATTAAAAAAAAAACAACAACAGTGCATCCTTCAGCTGCTGTTCCTCACGTCCTTATACAGCCCTCCCCCACCTCTTCCTAGTATTCTGTATGAGCCACACCCTGGGTACTCCCCTCCCCAAGCTTCTCTGTGGGGTGGAAATAAAATAGTGTTTCCTTCACCCTAAATTGAAATGTACAATGAAATTTCCTTTTAGAACATGGGTGAAATATAGTACCATCATCATTGTGGTTTGAATACATTGGGTTAAATTAACCTATGTGGCCAGCTTGGCTTGAAAACTGATGCATAGTTGCTAACATTATATTTGTGGAAATATTAGGAACAGAATCCAAACTACTGGTTTTTAAACAAACTTTAAATATGCAACCATCATATAAGTTAGAAACTACCATTAGGGGTCATATTTTAAAAAAATCTTAAAGGTCTTTGACAATGAATTCAATAATTACTCATTTGGAATGAACAAAAACAATGGAACTATTTTACGGATCCTGTGGCATCCTAGACTTTGGCTTGGGTTGTTAAGAAGTGGTATAAATTTCTGCTTAAAATACTGTCTATAAGTTCTAAGAAAGACTTCTAAATTCCACATAATACTGCATTTATATGTTTAATACTTTAGCTATTAAATTGAGGACATAAAAAGGCTTAAATCTGAAGAGAAGGACAAAGTAGCCCCTGAGTTCTAGCTTATGGTTCTACTTATGGTGACAGAATGTCAGCTATCATTTTACATACAGGATTCTCTTGAATAAACTGCCTGGTCTATAGGATTCGACTCAAGAACCTGTTCCAAGAAATCTCTGGACTTTCCTACTTTGCCTCCATGAAGATAGAAATGACTTAGGGAATTGTTTGCCTTATTTATCTCTGTATGTAGCATCTTCCATTGTGTCTCATATATATGTAGTAGGTATTCAGAAATGTTTGCTGAGTGGAGGAGTTAAAAAAAAATTAACTCTTGGGGCACCTGGGTGGCTCAGTCGTTAGGCGTCTGCCTTTGGCTTGGGTCATGATCCCAGGGTTCTAGGATCGAACCCTGTGTCAGGCTCTCTGCTCGGCGGGAGGCCTGCTTCTCCCTCTCCCACTCCCCCTGCTTGTGTTCCCTCTCTCACTGTGTCTCTCTCTGTCAAGTAAAAAAAAAAAATTGTATATGATCCTGATTAATCATTGTATGTAAATATGTGTAAAAAGAAAATAAATGGTCACTGGTTTTATTATTGAAACTTGTGTTTTGTAGATGGAAAATATCACAAGCAGATTAAAATAGAAGAGAATGCAACAGGTTTCAGTTATGAGTCACTTTTTCAAAAATACCTTAATGAAACAGTTACAGAAGTTTGGATACAAGATCCTTATATTAGACAGATTCATCAGGTAGGTGAAATGTACAAAAATATGATGAAATGTTATTTAAAATGTATGCGTTAATAATAACCTATCCCGATGTCTTTCAGCTATATAACTTTCTTCGATTTTGTGAGATGCTTATTAAGAAACCATGTAAAGTAAAAACTATTCATCTTCTCACCTCTCCGAATGAAGTAAGTATCTGGAAGCATTTATTCTTTTCTTCATTAACTTTATTCAGTTACGAGATATAGTTTGAGCAAGGAAAACATGGACACCGCTTCAGCTAGAACTGTTTCTTTGGGAATTATCTAACAGTAGGCCTAAAATATCTTCCAAAAAACGCTGTTGATTTTTTTCTGATTTTGTTGTACCTTGCATTTGGCCACTTTGCTCAACTCTCTGATTCAAGTAGTTTGTCAGTTTAGTCTCTTGGATGTTCCAGGAGATGATCACATGTCTGCACTGTTGACAATTTTGTCTCTCTTTACCAATGATTATCTCTTTTTCTTGATTTATTGTATTGGCCTTCTGGTGGATCATAGAATGATAGTGAGCATCTCCATCTTGATTTTGACTTAAATAGGAATGCTTCTAAATAAACCAGATTTCTAGGATTAACTTGAAAAGAAAGCTGAGTAACTAAAAATCTGAATAACTAAACAGCATTACTAAAATACATTTTAGGAGATGGAACAGAATTGTGTTATGTACACATTAGAAAAAAAAACAATTATTTTGATAAAAACAAGTGCTATTAAACTACTTCATACTCTGGTTGCTTCTTTGAGATAATAGACTTTGAAACTAGTATAGAATCTTTCCCATTTTAATTCATCCATGATACACATTGCACAACCTAATGATAATTTAAAATGATAATAACTGAACAGAAAATTGTATTCTTCCTATTAACAGGGGAGTGGGAAACAGCAGCAAAGTAGTGGCCTGCAAGAAATAAAAGAGTCACTCCAGAATCACGGAGTGCTGTTGGAATTAGAATATTCTTCTTCAGTACATGACCGAGAAATTAGGTTAGTGTATAGCAATATTTTAATTTTTATGCAGTTGAAAATACTTATTTTTATTTCTTTTAATAAGTTGTATATAATTCATGTAAATATTCAGTTTATTAAAATTTTAAATAAAGCTCAATTTTAGTATCTTTTCACTTTTGAGAAAAAAAATCTGGCTTATTATGTCTGAGTTTCATATTTCCTAATGGAATCAAGTTTATGTGTTCTATTTCATGTGAGAAGAGGAAGTACTTTTCTATTCAAGTATACATACAGTGTTATGGTATCGGGATAATTTTCTTTTCTGATGATAATAGTTGATATTCTGATGATCTTAGTATTTTTTTCTTGTAGTTTATTAAATAATCTCATAGGTGTGACAGTATGCTACAGTGTCTTTAAGGAAACAGTATACGCAGGTATTTTAGTAGTGTGTTCCTCTGTTTAACACAGTGGCTTTCATATGTTTAGAGTAACTGTGGTCGGGATCCAGAGCTCTTCTTGCTTATGTCCTCCATCTCTAGGTAGGGGAACCCCTGCAACACACCACAGTCTGCCTGAATACACTTAGCAGAACAGGAAAGTTTTGTCAGAAATCTGAAATTCGACAGTAAGATTAATTGAATTGTCAAACTTGTTACCAGCTAATCAAATCAACTAATGGTTCCTTTGGACGTTTTTATTTCATTGTAGACATAGCCCATAAGTAACGCCCGGTTTGGTTGAACTCATGCCACTGCAGAAAGTGATTTTCTATGTTAGGGGGAAATGTTGCTGATGCTTGCTACACTACACCTTTGATAACTGTCTCAGTTAAATGTCTGGAGTATAATACTGTATACTATTTCAACAGGTTTAACAATGGATGGATGATTAAGATTGGAAGAGGACTTGATTATTTTAAGAAACCACAGGTAGGATATAGTCTTATGAGTGAGTATGTTACACTCTTTTTGTATCATTTTAACAACATGGCTTTGGGTTTTTTTTAATTAAAAAACTTCTTTTCTTCTTTTCTTAGAGTCGTTTTTCCCTTGGATTTTGTGATTTTGATTTAAGACCATGTCATGAAACAACAGTGGACATTTTTCATAATAAGCACACAAAAAAATTTGATGGGTAGTAGCTTAATTTGCATTATATATTTCTATTTTAAGTGAATATTGATTTTGTTGTTACTTTGGACAGATCATTCCTATAATTATGAATTTAACAATAAATTTTTACATTTCTACTAATTTATGGATCCATTTTTTAGTTATGTAACCAACCCTAAATATTTTTATAAATACATTATTCAGTAGATTTATAGTGTTTCCAGTCATAAGGTTAATTTAAACATTTTACCAGCTTGTCTTTTATTTGACTGTTGGAGAATGAATTAATAAACAATGAGCGCCTATTATGAAGATGAATTGGATGTTAATCTTCCCCCTGGGAATTTAGCGTCCAGGAGGAAAAATCACGGATTAGGGTACTCTTCTAAGAGACAGATGGGCTTGTGGGTCTAATAACCAGGAAAAAAAAATGTTAATTTTATTACAATTAAGTGTCCCTGGTAGAAATTCACCAACATTAATTTATCCAATATTACCTAACTCCATAAAGGCAAATCAACCTGCTTAGTTATGCAGAGGCATTTTGCAGCTAATTCAACCTTGGCTGGCACATTTGTAAAGCTTTGCAGCTTAGAATCAACTGTTCTGGGTAAGCTCATCCATCCAGATGCCAGTTGACTGGTTGGGGACGAAGACTAGGTTCTGTGGAGATAGGTTGGGATTGGGGATAAAGGTAGAGGTAATGGGCAGTCCAGAAGCTTAAAGAATAAACTAAGCCAGTCTATGGAGGGAAACAGAAGTACTCGTGTTGAGGAATACACATCTAAACATCTCATCTGGAGAAGACTGAAGATTACATTTAAGATTAAATAGCATGGAGGACCAAAGCCGGTAGAAGCCACAGGAATAAGGTTGGGTATGTTTTACCTCTGGGAGCCAGCAGTCACCTGACTGAGTTGGCATAAAAGACCAAGAAGGGATTCCAGAAAAGTTCCTAATGTTTTTCTTTAATTTTAGTTTTCAGGTTCAGGTGCTGATAATGCTGAACCTGAAAAGACTCAAGCCAGTTTGCCAAGCTTTATTATATGGAAATTCAGGGTCTCAGGAGAGCAAGTGTTGTTGGACCTAATCAGAAGTTACTTTCTGCAAAGTATCGTAGATTATTTTGCCAGGTACCTATCAGCATGTGGAAGCAGAGTGGCTTTTCATTCAGGTGAGAACATGTATTAGACCTCCTTCTTTTCATGTTAAAGTAACCACTCTGATTTCTTCTAGAGCATGTGAATCTATCACTATAGAGATTCATCATTTCACAACCCTATGAAATTAACTTTTATCCAACCCACATAGGAATCCTGCCTAAGAAATACTGATGTTTAAGGAAGAGCACCTATCCATTATTTATAGTAATGGATAAAGCAGTAATGCTATCCATTATTCTAGGTATTTGAAATCTATCCCCAGATCCAATTAGAACATCAGAAGACTACCATATGCAATTTACTTATTAAATACATCAAGAAATATGCAAGAGCTGTATGAGAAAACTATAAACTTTATGGAAGAATGTAAAAAACTAGGAAGACAAATTATATTCTTGAATGGGAAGGCTTAAATAGGATTATCATCTCTCCCTAAGTTAATTTATAAATTAAATGACAAAGAGATTAACACTAGGAGACTTGCTTGACCAGCTATAAAGACATAAAGTTACAATGTATATATATTTTTAATGTATGGCATAAGAATGGACAAATCAGTGGGGTAGAATAAGGAGCCTGGAAACACCTGAGAGAGAAAGTAAATGTGTGTATATGGGTCCTTAATGCACAACAAAGATATGGTTCATATTAGTGGGGAAAGAGTAGACTATTCAATAAATGTTTGGAAAAAACATTAGATCTCTACCCCACATAGAGGTTATTCTGTTAAAGAGCTAATTAAGTGAAAAAAAAATTTTTTTAAAGCTCCACTAAATGTACTAAGTATAACACAAAACCCAGGAATTATCAAGGAAAGGAAAAGGCAAAAGATTTGATCATGTAAATATTGAAAACTTGAGTAGAGAGAACCATAAAAAGTTAACATGACATCAAATTTATAGCATATAGAGAAAGGGTTAATAGTACTAATCTATAAGGAAGATAGCCACATTTTCAGGAAGTGAATTCAGTCTTGCCTCCGTTAGCCTCACCAAGGACTTCGTCCTTTTAGCGACCTCTCCCTCTCTGCTGCATTGTTTCTGCCAGTACAGATATTCCCAGCCAGATACCACCCATCCTATTTCTTTGTTCTTGAAGTTCTCTATACAATTTTTTCCCATTTCCTTACCACCTAATAATACTTCAACTCACTTCAACCAGGCTACCCAGTCATTCCACTGAAACTGCTCTTGTCAAGGTCAACAATGACTTCCATTATTACCATATCCAGTGGGTACTTAACCTTCATATTACTTGATCTTTCAGGAGTAATTGACCCAGTTGGCCACTCCCTTCTTTTTTTCTTAAAGATTTTGTTTATTTATTTGACAGAGAGAGACACAGTGAGAGCAGGAATACAAGCAGGGGGAGTGGGAGAGGGAGAAGCAGGCTTCCCGCGGAGCAGGGAGCCCGGTGCGGGGCTCAATCCCAGGACCCCAGGATCATGACCTGAGCCGAAGGCAGACGTTTAATGACTGAGCCACCCAGGCACCCCTCGCCACTCCCTTCTTTTTTTTTTTTTTTTAAAGATTTTTATTTATTTATTTGAGAGAGAGAGAATGAGAGAGAGCACATGAGAGTGGGGAGGGTCAGAGGGAGAAGCAGACTCCCCGCCAAGCAGGGAGCCCGATGCGGGACTCGATCCAGGGACTCCAGGATCATGACCTGAGCCGAAGGCAGTCGCCCAACCAACTGAGCCACCCAGGCGCCCCGCCACTCCCTTCTTAAAGCTCTCAAATTCCATGAAACATTCTTTCTCCTCCACCCTGTCTTTTAAGTATTGGCGTTCTCCTAAATTAGATACTAAGTAGTAACCTCTTTTTTTTTTAATCTACACTCCCCTAAGTGATTATACCAGTAATTTCTTAGTGAAAAGCAACAGAAACTGCTCTTACCTGATGTAAGCAAAAAAGAGATTGTAAAGATAGTGGGTAGTTCATACCATCACCACAAGAGGTACAGACTTGGCCTTGGAAATTCTGCAATGAAAAAAGCCATATCTAGATTCACAACACAGAACTAATCAGATGATACCACTGCTGACCCCAAGGCAAGGCCTGAACTCAGTAGCCTTATTACCACTTCTGTCACTTAAATTATTGGGCACTACACTGCCACTCTTAGCACCTTGCTACCCCAGAAATTCAGGCCCTGGTACAACTGCCAGAGAAGGGTTTTCACCATCCCAGGTTCACTTCATCATGATCCATTCAGAGTCTGAAGCAAGTACATCTGATTGGCAGAGCCTAAGTCATGTGCCCTCACCCTAGATTCAAGAGAGACTAGGAAAGGAGTACAGTGAAAATTTCAGTTTCCATAGAGAGGAGTGTTGTTGATTTGCCATTTTTGGAGTTCCCCAGGTGAAATTCAAAACTGGCCTCCGTACACTCAGGGCAAGGAGAGACTGAAGAAAGAGGCAGACCACTTGGTAGATGGGGTTTAATAAGCAACGGAACTTAACATATGAGGCTTGTCTTGGGTGGCTACAAGATAAGTAATCTCCGCACATGCCTGCAGAATCTCAAGAGTTCATGGAGGCCTTGATGGGATTCAAGTCACATATACAATCCAGATAGTCTCAGTAACAAAGTACTCTCTCAAGACTGAGTCCTTGAAGTGGCTCCTGATGTGGGAGCAGTGGGCAGAACACACATTCTAAGGACAGGGGAGGGTGTAAAGAGACTTCAATTGCCCATATCCAGTGCAAGGGTCAACTGGCAGTCACATCCTCTTGATGACCTCTCCAGCAGGTGGGTTCTGTCTCACAGCAAGGTTTTTTAAGTTGGAGAATCCCCCAAAGAGTGAGGGGACTCAGGGGCTAAATACTTTATGCTGTAAGATGAATTATAAAAGTTCCCAATTATCCATTTTCATGACTTAAAATACTAGGTATATGCTGTCAACTCCTAAATATATAAATTAAGCCAAAACTTTTCCTTGGAGCTATGATCTCATATATTCAGCTGCCTATTTGGCATTTCCTCTGGCATTTCAGAAGCACACAGTCATTTCAAATATAGGATGCTGCAACTGAACTTTGGAAACACACTCCCCCACTCCCTGTGTTTACTCCCATCCATCCAATTGCTCAAATAAGAAATCTAGGAGTCGTTCTTGATTCTTTATCTCCTTTATCCTCATATGGAAACAATCAGAAAATTCTGTGGACTCTAGCTGCAAAACATGCCTTTTCTATTCCAGGTGATGCTTGTTAAATTTCCCTTTTGGATCTTGAAGCCCTTAACACCTTTCACCTGATGATATTCTCGATCTTGACAAACAGATGGTATCAGAAAATCATGAGTGCTTTATTGCCCCAAAGCACATCATATCAGGATTTTTATACCTTTCTTGGAAAGTAACTTCCACACGTTGCAGCAAATGTAGTGCGTAAAAAATATGCTTATGAGAAATCTCTTCAAAATTGTTTATTTGCTGTTTAATATTGCTGGAAAAGAACAGAAGGACCTGCCTATGAAACCTGACTCAAATGAAAAATGGTTAGACGGCCAATTGTGTTTGTCCCCGGAGCCACTTGAAAAGTAAAATCCCTTTCACTTACTCCGCTCCCACACTGAGGGAAAAATTGGTGTCCTTATAAGAAGTGGAAATTTTGACACAGATATGCACACTCAGAGGAAATGTAACAGCACCTCAATTGGTCTTCAGGGTTAATGTGCTTCAAGCTTATTCACTCCTTGCTTGCGGACCTAAATCCCAGTTTGTAGCAGTACTAACCTACTTCCCTTGAGATCCTGCAGACTGCTAGCCTTGAGGACCAAAGAACCAGACTTTCCAGAAGATAAGGCCTGACCACACAAAAACAGCTTCCACTGACCATGGCATTCTCAGTAAGAGACTCTGGGAGCCTTGATTCCTGGTATATGGGGAAGAGTCCGGACTGCCTTCCCAGGATGTGGCTTGTTGGGCTGCAGGGGCATCCTTTACTGAGAGACCACCTAGGAGCCTTGATTATTGGTAGAGCAGAGGATTCTGAAAGATTTTTTGAGGACAGATGATTAACTGTTAAGCACCAACTTCTACACATAGCCCCCTCACCATCTCCTGCACCTTCCCTTTTAAAAATATGTTTCCCCTGGACAGGGAAGATGGGTCTTTGAGATGTTAATCTGCCATTTTTCCAGGTTGCCAACTTCCTCAATAAAGCAACCTTTCCTTTCCCACCAACACTTGTCTCTTGAGCATTGGCTTTCAAGCAGCGAGTTTGGAACTGGTCCTCTGTCCAATAACAGACCATGTGAGCATACAGCAAGAAGGCAGCTATCTGCAGGTCAAGAAGAGAGGCCCCAGGAGACACCAAATCCACCAGCACTTTTATCATGAACTTCCCAGCCTCCTGAACTGTGAGAAAATACATTTTTATTGTTTAAGCCACCTGATCTGTGGTATTTTATTATGGCAGCCCTAGCAAACTAATATATACTGCTTTATTGTTTCCCTTTTTTAAAAGGAATCAGAATTAAACCTTGTCCTGAAAATAGAAATCATCCTTAATTTTTGACAAGGGCTTAACACAATGTCAGCATCTTTCCATGGCTACTGCCAATATTACCTGTGCTGGGATTCCTGCAGTAGTCTCCCAAGTGGCTTTCTGCTTCCTATTTTCTCTCCCTCCAATCCATTCTCCACAGCACAGACAGAATATAACAACTGCAGTGTCATTGCACTTAAATTAAGATCTAGGTCTACCTTGGGCTATCTGTCCCTACATGATCTGGTCTCTTTTCTCTCTATCCTCATCTTGCTCCATTCTCCCCTTGTTCCCACACTTCAGTTTGCTTATCCTTCGACACCATCAACAACCCTAGCTTTTACCTGCTTTAGGGCTTCCTGTATGCTGTTTGTGGTAGATTATAAAAATGGTTGCAATAAGGGTAATTTTTATAATGACTTTGACATTCCTCCCATAGAGAGGTGGCTATCGATGTTCTCTCCTCTTGGATTTGGATGCATGTGTGACTATATAAATTGCTTCCAAGACAAGGTATAAAAGGAAATAGTTTCTGTTGGGCTTTCTTGAGTCACTTGTTCTGGGAATACAGCTACCATGCTGTGAGGAAGTTCAGACAGCCTTGATTAGGCCCAGGTAGAAAGGAATTGAAGCCCTCAACCCATAGCTCCAGCTGAGCTCCCAGCCAACTGCCAGCACCAACTTGCCAGCCATGTGAGCCATCTTGAAGCAGGTATTTCAGCTCTTTAAGCTGTCCTAGCCAAGGCCACTGGATCATATGTGCTATCCCCATCAAAGCTCAAACTGTAGATTTGTGAATAAAATAAATGTTGTTTTAAGCCACTAAGTTTTGGAGTGGTTTGTTAAAAGAGGCAAATAACTGATAAAACTGGGAATACTCTCCTCCCCACTCCTCTGCTTGGCTGCTTTCTTCTCATTCTTCAGGTCTCCATTTCAATGTCTGCTCCCTGATAGCTCTAGCGAGGCAGCCCCTATTATTGTCTGTTAGAACTACCCAGGCTTTTCTTGCTTTATAATTATATACTGATTTGTTTGTCCACATTTCCTATTAGGCTCCTGTTTCCTTTTTTTTTTTTTTTAAGATTTTATTTATTTGTGAGAGAGAGAATGAGAGACAGAGAGCATGAGAGGGAGGAGGGTCAGAGGGAGAAGCAGACTCCCTGCTGAGCAGGGAGCCTGATGTGGGACTCGATCCTGGGACTCCAGGATCATGACCTGAGCCGAAGGCAGTCGCTTAACCAACTGAGCCACCCAGGCGCCCTAGGCTCCTGTTTCTTAAACTCTGGTCTTGACCTATTAATGGGTGTTAAAATAATTTTTAAAAGATGAAATAAAATCAAATATAAAATGTCAAATAAGGAAATAGTATAGGATAAACATTGCATTGTAAAACTTGTTAGGTATAGATAATATCTGTGCTAATATATAATATAAAATATATTTTTTTACTGTAGTTTTTAAGGAGTTCGAAAGCCAGTACACTAAACTGTCAATTCCTGAGGTCAGTAAGTCTCTTTCATTCACCATGAACATCCAACAACTACAAAGTACCTGGCACATAGTAGGCATTCAAAAAACACACAGTAAATACTGTAGAAATCAGAGTAGTATGTGAATGAACTGCAGAGACACGAAGTGGTTGGCAGTGATGTTACTCCTTGAAGAAATTTGGCGATGAAGAGATGTAGAGACACAACAAAACCTTAGGCAGGGGTTCTGGGGAAAGGAGACATAAGCATGTTCATTCACTATGTGTCAGGATCCAGTAAGTGAAGAGAGAAAATGTAAGATAAAAAAAAAAAAGGTATTTAATAGTAGAAGGCCCAAATAGGTTGGAAAGGACAAAGATCCAGGTACAACTAGCCTTAAGGAAAAGGTGTTATTTGAGAATGAATGAGAAATGTTGAGAGGAAATCGGGTGCTGAAGGAGCTCATTTATGAAGGCCTCCACTGTCAAATTATGAGTCAAGGTTTGTGACAAGAGAAGTGGAGTTCTGAGTTTAAGAAAAGTGGAAACATTTATGAATAAGGCCTCTGAAAAATGAGGGAGTCAATGGAGAGGAATTGAATCTGACACAAATAGGGGATAAATATAAATATGAAATTGGGTTAATCTGCATGTGAATTTTCTTCCAGCATTGCCTGCCATCTGGGTATGACAGGAGTAAAATATCAGTTGATGGAATAATAATAATAAAACAATGGCCATTGTAGGTCAAGAGAGAAAAGCAAATGAGAATGCTGGTAAGATAAGACAGTATACTTGAAAGAATTCAGGGATGGATAGGAAGGGAGATGAAGCAAGAGATTTGGAGGGTTAAGGGCTTAGAAAAGTGCAGTGGGCTTAATTTAACAGGAAAGGATGGTCAATAAGAAAGTTCAGCTGACAAATAATGTGGGGGTTAAGAGGTGCTGACCATGGCACAGTTGAAAATCCACACAGAACTTTTGACTCCCCAAAAACTTAACGAGTAGCCTATTGACCAGAAGCTTTACTAGTAATCATCAAGACATATTTTGTATTATATACTGTATTCTTACAATAAAGCTAGAAAAAATGTTACTTAAAACTCATGAGAGAAAATATATTTATAGCACTGTAAAACATCTACATATAATTGAAACCATGCAGTTCAAACCCACTATTCAAGGGTCAACTGTATAGTTAAAAGGAAGAATTTTAGACTTTAAGGTATCAGAGGTGACAAGAAGCCTGGGTTATATTCCTTAGAGGTAAGAAAAAGAACTAACTCAGAGATCACAGTGTTGAATATCATATACACCCCCATGATGGTAACAGAGAAAGGAGCAGATATATGTGTGCTGGATAAAAAAAAAAAAAAATCATTGAAAAAAGAGAGTATCCTACAGGCCATAAGAAACTATGGACTGGGGCGCCTGGGTGGCTCAGTCGTTGGGCGTCTGCCTTCGGCTTGGGTCCTGATCCCAGGGTCCTGGGATCGAGCCCCGCATCGGGCTCCCTGCTCCGCGGGAAGCCTGCTTCTCCCTCTCCCACTCCCCCTGCTTGTGTTCCCTCTCTCCCTGTATCTCTCTCTGTCAAATAAACAAAATCTTTAAAAAAAAAAAAAAAAAAAAGAAACTATGGACTAGGTGACAATTCCTAATGGGGAATAGTTACTGAAAGAGGCTAGGTCTTTTTTAAGAGACAAATGATGAGGATGCCTGGCTGGCTCAGTTGGTAGAGCATATGACTCTTGATCTCTTGATCTCAGGGTTGTGAGTTCAAGCCCCATGTTGGGTGTAGAGATTACTAAAAAAAAAAAAAAGACATACAATGTACTTTGAACATTTTATTATCTCATAAAAACTGTAAATATTAAATTTATTTGGAATCACATTATTCCCTTAATTTTTTCACAGAGAATATTCCATTTACTGTGTAGTTCATCATCTTCTGGACATGTTCTATGGAAAATATTTGTTAGCACAGTAATTTCATTTGGGCAAAACTTACTGCCAATAAAACTTGAATTTAATTTGTCACATATTTCCAGTGGCAACCAATGATCAGGTGCTTCAATATTACAGATTTCAATCCTTCCACCCTTTATGTCTATGAATATTTTAATTTCCAAATGCGACTGTTCATATAATACATTAAAGGAAGTGTTTATACTAAACTTTGGAGTTTTGCCATATATCCACTCCCAGGTCTGTAGTTCTTCGGCTTTGTTATTTATTCCAGGAAACAGTGTCTCATCTGTTGGGTTTATTAGGTTGATATGATTATCAATTTGATGATAAGCAGCATACTCTGTCGCAATAGCGTTCATGAGTACTTCACAGGTCAGAGTGGGATCTTTTTCCAAAAGATTTTTTACTGTGGAAGGTATGCTAGCAGTGGCATTGCTCCTGATCCCTTGGTAAGGGCTCTTCAGCAAAGACGACAAGAAGGTTCTATCGGTACTACACAATAAAGTGCAGTGGTGGTAAGCAGTAGTCCGGCCAATCTTAGAAGCTGTTCCCGAGATTTTAAACTGTCCATCCAGTAAAAGGTCACATCTTTTGGTGGCCTGTACATCCAGCTGGGGTTGGACAGCATTCAGAGCCCTCACAACTAATTTTAGGTTCTGCATTCTATCATACTTTTTTTTGGTTGTAAAAAAAGTCAAATTGATATTACCCATATCATGGTAGACTGTTCCTCCTCCACTTCTTCTCCGAGCCAGTTTTATACCTTCTTCTCTCATCAGATTCAGGTTGCATTCCTGCCAAGGATTCTGATGCCTACCTATTACAATAGAGGGGGAATTTCTCCACAAGAAAAGAACCGGCTTGCCTTCTAGATTCATGTGGTCATGGATCCAGTCTTCTACAGCCAGATTTTGATAAACATCACTGGAAATGGACTGTAAAATGAGCCCACTTTTTACTGTGTTCTTAAAGCCAGCTGCTGGGACCTTGAGGTTACAAAGTAACTGGAAGCAATTCTTCATTGAAAATGGGATCAGCATGCTTTTAAAAATAGAAGACTGGGGCGCCTGGGTGGCTCAGTTGGTTAAGCATCTGCCTTTGGCTCAGGTCATGATCCCAGGGTCCTGGGATCGAGTCCCGCATTGGGCTCCCTGCTCAGCGGGGAGTCTGCTTCTCCCTCTCCTTCTGCCGCTCCCCCTGCTTGTTCTCTCTCTCTCTCTCTGTCAAATAAATAAATAAAATCTTTAAAAAAATAAATAAAAATGGAAGACTAATTAATTGGGAAAAAGAAAATTAAATTTTACTTTCTAGCTATTGATTCTTGGTTATTTTAGGTCAACTTTTCCAAGTATCCAGTTGCTTCTTGTCCAGCTTTATCCTTAGTCTTTAGCAACTCTGTAACAGAATACTCAATGGAAATAAACAAAGACAAACCTCAAATAATTTCAGTTGAAACGGAGTAAGGGCACAGATTTTTCAAACAATAAATCTGTAAATTCATTATTTAATATATCTCAAAGCCAAGCAAATTATCTTGAATTCACAGGTAATACATGTTCATTTAAAAAAATGAGAAAATACATATACGTAAAAAGAGCAAAATAAAAGAATCCATAATACCACCCCCTGGAGATAACCAAAATTCACACTTTGGTGTGTACCTGTTTTTTTCTGTGCATGTGTAAACACACATCCCTCCCCCACTCCAAATTGGAACCATACTGTTATTTCATTCAATGTTAAATCTATTTTTACATCAGCTTTAATGTATAATATTTCATTGTCAGATATACCACCGTTTACTCTTAGTTTGTAATTTTAGTGTCTTAGTTTGTAATTTTAGGTGGTTTCTAGTTTTTCAGTGTTATCAACAATGTATTCATGAATATCTCTGTGGAAAGCTTTAATTATGTCCTTAAAATACTTCAAAAAATAATTCCTATTTGACTTTGAGACTTGATTTACCAGCAGTATAATTCTTTCATTTAGATCAATATTTAATTAGGTTAAATAATTAAACCTGAGGTTAGGGGAAGAGGCAGAGTAGTGGGGTTATATGGAAAGGCTACAGACAATTTCATTATGTTTGGACACTTCACACGTTATTTTTGTTAGCAGTGCTGATGGCAACAGGATGAATACTAGCTATAGTAATCAAGTATTTTGACTAGTTATATTTGTAAAGAAACCACTCCATTCCAATTCTATTTCTTAGGATGCTCATAATTTTTCTTTAGGTTAAAGAACTGGGATAAAATGGGTTATTAAAGTCCAAAACTAGGCCAAAATCTTTTGTAGTTAAGTAATGTCCTACAAGCACAAATAAGAGAGTCTTCATATTTTCATCACTCTTGATACATTTTGATAAATTACACTACAGAAAAGTTAAGCCAATTTATATTTTCTCTGTCTAGAAAGGTCAGGAGAGGTTTTAATAGAGGGATACTTGAATTGAGTCTCAAAATATGATGGTCTTTACCAAATTGATGGGGGTAGCATATTCCAGGCATACACAAAGACAGTCATCGTAGTAAGGCCTGTTTTGGAAACTCCCTCCTCAGGGATGGAGTTACACTATTGGTCTAGCTCCACTGAAACCTATGGCTATGCTGTCCTAGGAAGCTTCTGTAGCCCCACTGGATTGCTTTGTTTAAACTCTGTTCTTGGCTCTGTGTGACTGACTCTGATATAGTCCTTCATTGGACAAATATTTATGGAGTGCCTACTATGCAAAAATAGTAAAGAAATAGAGAAGGGGAGAAGACAGATTCATGTAATTCTAAAACATTTGGAGTTTTTCTAAAAGCAGCTGGGATCTATTGAAGTGTTTTAAGCAGACAAGCGTTAAGTTAGCCATTATACAGAACTGCCTCTGCAGACAGTGTTCAGCATGGATTAAAGGAAAGAGAGACTAGGGGCAGGGAGACTGGGTAATAGACTAATGCAACTGTCCAAGCTAGAGACAATGAGGACCCGGACAAGGGTAGCAGACATTGATGCAAGAGAACTGAGCACATTCAGAGTCTGCTGGGAGTCAGGGAGGGAGGGCAACACCAGTGAAGGGAGAAGGTCTCTGACAAAGAGGTGGTGCTGGGATCCAATTCAGGTAGGGAAGGAGGCAGCCTTGAACAAGAAAACAGGAAACTCTTCCATTGTGATCCAAGAGAGAAACAGTAAGGAACAGGGGTGGTGGACCATGATATGCTAACCGATGTCTGTGGATTTGGAGATTCTCAAAGACCTTGTGATATATCCCTCCTTGTCTGCATATGCAGAGTGTGGCAGGATGCAAAGTGATTAAGAACTTACGGTTTTTCCCCCTTTATTTTACTGAGATATAACTGACATATAACATGGTATTAAAGTATACAACATAATGATTTATGTATGTATATACTGAAAAATGATTATCACAGTAAGTTTAATTAACATCCAACACCTCACAGTTACAAATTTTTTCCATGTGGTGAGAATTTTTAAGATCTACTTTCTTAGCAATTTTCAAATATGCAATACAGTATTTAACTATAGTCACTTACAGAGCTTAACTATTAATCCTGGCTCTGCCACTTGCTAACTGAATAACCTAAGGCAAGTAGTTTAACCTCTGGCTGCTTCAGCTGTCTCATTTATAAAACGTTCCTACCTCACAAAATGGTTGAGAGAATTAAATGAGTTAACATGCATAACGCACTCATGCCTGGCAAACTGAAATGCTCTATAACAGAGTTCCTACCTTCCCATCTCTATTCTTCTCATACCATTCCTGTCATATGACACATATTCCCAACAGGCGCTTAAATAGGAAAGCGTGCAAAGATCCCCAACTAAGACACATTAAAGTGCCATTTATTTTGATAAATTAGCAATAGTGAAAGATACTGACTTTGGACAAAAATGCAACTTGTTAGGGTTCCAGAATTGATCCAATTTATGTATTAGTGCACAAAACAGAAATATCTCTATTCATCCACGCATTGTGTACGCAGTGTGAATGAAATACAGCAAAGGTATTAATTCAACAAATCTTGCATCTACTACATGACAGGCATTATTCTAGGCACTTAGGATTGATTTATCAGTGAACCAAATAAGTAAAGATGAATAGGACTACATGAAAAAGTAGAGCTGGGAAAGAGGAAATTGGAAATATTAAGTGTGAGAGGAACTACGCTGTGATTCTAAATAGGCTTGTCAGGCTAGGCTTCATTAAAAAGGTGACATTTGCAGGGCGCCTGGGTGGCTCAGTTGGTTAAGCGACTGCCTTCGGCTCAGGTCATGATCCTGGAGTCCCGGGATCGAGTCCCGCATCGGGCTCCCAGCTCGGCGGGGAGCCTGCTTCTCCCTCTGACCCTCTCCTCTCTCATGCTGTTTCTCTCTCGCTCGCTCTCCAATAAATAAATAAATAAAATCTTAAAAAAAAAAATTAAAAAAAAAAAAGTGACATTTGAGCAAAGACCAAGAGAGCTCAGTGAGTTAGGCTGAGAACCTACTATGTGCTAGAAACTGTTCTAGACACCTGAATACATAAACGAAAAGGCCCCTGTGAGGATGTAACATTTCAACTGAGCCCTAAAAGATGAGGAAGAATAGCACAAAGAATGAGGAAACAAAAGGATGTTGGAAAAAACCCAAGTGCCAATTTATTAATTTACAAAGAGAACTGAAGGCTATCAACTGGATGTTCAGATCAGCCTGTTCAAATACTCTGTGTAGGACTACTGATAAGCCAACTTATTATAAGTTTGCCTGGTGAAGACAGAACCTGAACAAAAGGACTGAGTTATAGGGACTTCAATGTCTGATGGGATGAGCCTTGGAGAAACCACCTTCTCAAAGATCCTGTTAAAGCCAGGATACTCTCCCTTTCCTGGAGAAGGCTTGGATTCATCTGGGACAGATGCATCTCTCTTTTATTCAATCCTTCAGTAACAGATCAGACCTCCGGCTGAATGATAGCCTTTCTTTAATTGTCAGGATATGGTCAGCCTTGAAGGCCTGGCGAAATGCTCTTTCTTTAAATCAACTCTGCATGTGACTACTCTCACCTTTCAATGACTGATTTTATGCGATCTGAAGAGAACAATCCATGTTCTAGGGGGACACTTTGCTACCACTTTGCATTGCCAAACATGCTTCTTCACTACTGAAAAGAAAGCAAAAAACAATCCTATCTATCCTCCCAGGTAGGCCCAGCTCCTTCTAAACACTTATAAGTTACTCTGCCACATCTTTGACAGTACGTAACTTACCCAGAGTCTCACGATGGCCACGTGCTTGTTTTACTTCGCCTTCTTGGCTCCCTGTGGGAACGCACAGAGCTGGCACCAACACGTTTTATTTTACCCTCCTATATTGGGGCTAGGCCGTACCTAACCGAGGAGTTAGGTCCTCCCAAGTGCCGAGCGAAACAGCACCGGCAGCGGCGGCCCGGGGCGGTGCACGCGCGGGGCCCGGCCTCAGGGTCTCAGGTCCCCGCCCCCAACAAAGGGCCGCCCACGGCAGCGCCCCGCCAGCCCCGCTTCCAGCTTCGCCCACCTGCAGCTTCCGGTCGCGCCCACGGCCGCGCGCGGGCCGGTGCAGGAGGAGAACGCGTGTGACCCCACGGCCTGCAGGCTGCGAGCGCGGCCAGACGGAAACGCCGAGAGGAGGCGGGGCCACGCCGGGGTTGGGCGGGGCGCCCTCCGGCCTCGCTCTTCGCGGCTGGCCTGCGCTCCCGCTGGCGCTGCACTCGGGGTTCCCGAGGCGCCTTCAGAGCCGCCCAGTCGGCGCCAAGCCAGAGTCGAGGCGGGGACGCAAGGCACGTTCCAATAGTAGTGTGGAAAGTCCTAGCGCCCCCCGTTCAGATGGAAGTCCCCGCGTGACAGCGCAGAGCTAACGGTCAGCCGGGGCGAAGGTAGGAGAGGCGGCTGTGTCCGGCTGGGGCTGGGGGCGGAGGGGCCCTCGCGGAGCGAGGCCAGGGGCTGGGCGCCAGGAAGCCAGGGCAGTCCGCTCCCAGGCCCGGACAGGCCCGAGCACCAGCAAACACCCACTGAACTTGAGGCATTGCGCCAGCTCTTTACGCATCTCCTCTCCTTTACGCAAAGGGCACATAACTCCACCTGGAAGCTGAGGAAACTAAAGTCAGTTTTAAAAGACAAACTGCATTTAAAGGAATAAACGCTGCTATTCCCAGTAGAGAGATGGTAACTGGTAGGAAGGAGTGGGTCAGAGAACACACCCCTCAGGCTAATGAATGTTACCCGTCTGCGGTTGGCAAGAAAATACTTTCGGCTCAGCCAGATGGGGGCAATTCCTCCAGCAAGCCAAAGTTTCAGTGAACTATCGCCGCCTAACAAACTGCCTCAAACATCAGCGGCTTAAAACGATTTATTTCTAACATTGATATAGTTTCACCCGAGTTTTATTCAACCAGGGTTGGCAGAGCTGGAAGGTCCAGGATGGTCCTGTTCATACTCTTGGCAGTTGGCTGCTGGGGCACCTCAGTTCAGGTCTAGCCTTGGAAGAGAGGCACCACATTCTGGGGGCCAAAGCAACAAGCAAAGGCAGGCCAGAGATAAAGGATGGAGCAGTGGACTCGACCTCTTGATGAGAGGAGCCCAAATAATTTGTAGTCATCTTTTTCAATCTTCCACAGAAATGAAATTTTTCGGTTCGAATAGAAACTACCAAGACTTGCATCTTGGAATAAGAAGCATCCAGTGTTCACAATTTGGTGATGCTAAGCAGGGCTCCATAAAAAGCGATAATAAAGACACAGTGGCTCCTCATTTACCATTACCCTTTTGATCGAAGTCACTCTGAGTTCCTTTCTTGTATTATGCAGATGGAATGAATTGTGTACAGAGTTAGCCCAAGTAGGAATTTTCCTAGTTATTAAAAATAGCCGCACAAAACTGTTTCCCTTTGCTTACATTCTGTCTTCCTAAATTTCATTTCTCTGAAATCTGAGATGGTAGTTTTTTCGCCCTGTTTTCTACTGAGTAGGTTTTCAAGAATCTCACTCCCTCCTTTCTGCTCTGAGACTTTTGTCCTTTGGTTTTTGTTTTTTTTTTAAGATTTTATTTATTTATTTGACAGACACAGCGAGAGAGGGGACACAAGCAGGGGGAGTGGGAGAGGGAGAAGCAGGCTCCCCGCAGAGCAGGGAGTCTGATGTGAAGCTTGATCCCAGGACCTTGGGATCACGACCTGAGCCGAAGGCAGATGCTTAATGACTGAGCCACTCAGGCGCCCTGTCCTTTGGTTATTCTTAACCCCTCTCCTACTTCACTGTCTCCACTGGTACCTTCTTCCACCGACACTCAGACGTGAACTCTGACTCATCATAACCCGCCTACTTCCTTTTAGAGCAGAGCTTCTTCAAGAACTTGCTACACGTATCCAGTATCCACTTCCTTACTACCCATTCATAATCAGCCTACTCCAACATTTCTTCTGTCCCCATTCCATCAAGAGTGCTTTTTGGAGGGGTGAGGGTGAAATGAGTCAATGTGGTCAAAGGTATAAACTTCCAGTTATAAGATAAATGAGTCCTGGGGGCGCCTGGGTGGCTCACATGGTTGAGTGTCTGCCTTCGGCTCAGGTCATGATCCCAGGGTCCTGGGATCGAGCCCCACATTGGGCTCCCGGCTCAGCAGGGAGACTGCTTCTGCCTCTCCCCCTGCTAGTGCTCTCTCTATATATATATCTCTCTGTCTCAAATGAATAAATAAAATCTTTAAAAAAAAAAAGATAAATAAGTCCTGGGGAATCTAATGTACAGCATGGTGTCTATACTTAACAATATTGTCTTATATATTTAAAAGGTGCTGAGAGTAGATCTAAAAATTCTCATCACAGAAAAAAAATTGTAACTGTGTGGTGATGGATGTTAACTTATTGTGTTAATTGTTTTGCAATGTCTACATATATAAAATCATTATATTGTACACCTAAAACTAATACAATGTCCTATGTCAATTATATTTCCATTAAAAATAGAAATAAAGAATAAAATTCTTTAAATCATTAAAGTATTCAGGGCTGATGAAGAATGAGGTCAGCTACTTATTCTCAAATGGTTGTGGGGAGAGGGAAAGGCCTTTGTACTAGCAACTTTTCTGTAAATTTGACCTTGTTTCAAAATAAAAGGAAAATAATATATGTTAGGTGTCTGACACTGTAATAAAGACTGTTAGTGCCCTACCCATGTTCCCTTTACCCCTTAGTCCATGCATCCATTTTCCAGCTGCTGTGAGCTAGGAGCTGTTGTGCCCAGAGACACCTGAGTGATTCATGCTACCTCCGTGCTCCTCCAGCCTCCCTCTTTGGCTTTGTGGTGGCAACCAAGGCCAGACTGGTAGGGGGTACAATAATCCCCCCCCTTTGCCTCAAAGTGAGTAATGGGACAACTGTGCTATCTGGTCTTTCTAGGGCACCCTGTGGATCAGACCAAGAATTTATCTGAGCTCTCATCCTTAGCTGACTCCTCCTGTTTCCCTATCTTGCTTCCTTCACTGCCTTTTCCTAAAGAGTACACTCTTAAAAATCATGTGCACCTGAATCCCTGTCTCAGGCAGCTTCTAGGGAGTCCCAATTAAGACAGTCACACACTAGCTCAATAAATGAAAGCTTTTATTACAGCATCCATGATAACACCAATGCATGTATAATAGGTTTAGATACCTTATTTTATGGATATGTTGGATTTAAAGTCTCCTAACATCCTTATTTCTGCTGAACTACACTTTTTTATATGGGGAATTTGCTATCTTATTAGAAACAACAGAACTCTGAAAAGTAGTCCCTTTAAGATACCACTTATAGAATTCTCCCAAAACATCTAAGTGAGGTTATTGTCCTTATTAAGCTTGTTCCATTCCACCTTCTTCCAGGAAGTCTTTTTGGATTTCCCTTCTTGAGTGGGCTGCTAAAACTATGGCTTAGATTGGATTTGGGGATTCCAATTTTCTGTTGTCTTGGCAGCAATGGTTCTCAATGAGGGTAATTAATGTTTGCATTTTTTATAGTCTCAGTGACTGGAGTGTGCTACTGTATTTCACATCCTGCAAAGCAGGAGGAATCATGCACAATGAAAGATTATCCCAAATTCAACATCCAACATGACTATCAAATGTTCTGTTTGACATTCAGGGAGATGAAAAACAAAGCTATAAATATCTGAGCCAAGCCCCTGTTAAAAAAAAAAAAAAAAAGAAGGAAAGTGGTTTTTGCTAAGGTTACTGTGACATTTCATATTGCTAGATCCAATGGACCTTTCCATCCTTGTCTGACCTTTCAGTTGACTACCTCCACCGTAACAACTACTGTGAGCAGTCTTGACATTACCTTGTCTTAGTTTTTTACCATCTCACTGCCCACCCCTCAGTTCCCTTTGCTAGCTCCCCCATGCTGACCAGCTCCTAAATGTTTGAGTTCCTCAAGACTTTAGCTCACACTATACATTCACCTTAAGCAATCTCATTCATTCCCAAGGCTTTCAATACCATTTCTGTATACTACTTCAAAATTTTTATTTTTAGTTCCATACATATAACTGTCTACTTGCTTTGGAAACTGGGTTATGTCCCCAAACCATGCTCCTGAGCTCAGTCTTTTCCCCCAGAGAACCTCCGTGCATAGCCTTTTTAGCTGGAGTTCCTTTCTTTTTCCTTTCTTCTCACTTTCAAACCATCATTCTGTCCCGCTAACCTTCACCAGGACCCTTCCCCTTCTCAAGACCTTGACCATTACCATCATCTTACTTGGACAACTATGTCACTGCAAAAGCTATAAATGACATGACCTTAGGGAAAACTTCCTAGTTCCACAATTAAAAATCAGGTTTATGTGTTATGTGTCCTGTCCTTCTGGACATTTTACTTTTTCTTCATGGCACATCATAATTTGTATCTTACATAATTACTGTCTGATGTTCTATCTTTCCTGGCAGACAGACAGTAAACACTATGATGGCAGTGGCTATTTTATTCACCACTATATCCCCAGCAACAAGCACAGTGCCAGGTTAGGTGAACAAATGAAAGACTTGAGTTTTTTTCTCTCCCAAAGAATTATGTTCTGTAAATGATAAAAAGCATCATCCTATTGGCTTATGTCCCATTCAACAATTTTATTTAGCTCTAAGCTCAATATTCCCTACAAATATATCACATTTGTAATTTTCTGATTTATAAAATATTGCTTCCCCCTTTTCATCTTTGTTTTTATGAATATTATGGAGATTACTCACAACTGGGCATTAGAAATAGCCAATAAATATTAAAGTAGAGGAAAATGTTCAAAACATACATAATATAGTTACAGGTCACTATATGTCCAGACACAAAATGGTTTCAACTTCATCTCACAGTACCTGGGACAATACTGCTGTCTCAAACTACTAGACATTTCAGTAAGAACGGCAAACTGATACATATAAAATAAGATTTTTTTTTTAACAATAGGCTGCTTTCTTATATTAAATATTAGTAGTATAAAATGGCAGTATCTATAAGGTAAACTATTACACTTGGAAATAACTATTTTGTAATTTTGAAATGAATTCAATATGGGGGAAAACAGTTTTAAAAGGATGATTTAAAATGTGAAATGCTTCTCAAGGTACGTAATTTACTGGTCTTTTGTAGAGTTTACCTGAAGTGATCTTTTACAGAACAGAAATGCAAAAATGCAGAAAGATAAAATACCGTAAAGCAAAATCCCAAACTATAAATCTTACAAAATTGGTATACCACACATAGTGTGAAATACAGATGTCAAATTGTTTGGGCACTGTTTTTTATCACTTGTTAAAGAAATATATTACAATTAAAATATTTTGGTACCATTTAAATACTGTTATTCAAAAATTCTGATTTTTGACAAGGATGGAATGTAATACCAGAAAATTTTGCTTTGAATTTTGGAAAGTTTTTTTCCCCTAAAACATTAACTTTTTTGAATATGTATCAAAAAAGTGAAGTCTAATATGATTCATAAATAGTGAAAAATAAGCAATTGTCTTCATTTTGTTAGGTTTTTCTGATAAGGTTAAGTTCTCATTCAACATGCTCTCTTAGTCAAAAGCAAATTCTGGTTTCTTTGGCAGTATGTACAAATAACTTCATTCCACATCTGTCATTTCTATTCCATCATTTTCTTTAACATATACCACAGAACCCAAGGTTTTCTCTGAAAGAGATCCTGAGCCAATCTCTTTACTTCTGGTAAAGTGTTCTTGGTTTGTGTCTTCTAATCTTATTTTCTTGGTGTTTTGAAATAATTGAGTCACTGGTTCCAACTTGCTTTTCTCAGTCCCTCGCATCAAATGATCATCCACTTTTGAATCCATATGCATAGCAGATACCTGAGTAGCAGATTTACTAAGGGAAAATCCCATTGGGATGGTTGAATAAATATAGTTTGCAGGTACCTCTTTAAGTAGTGGGAACGTTTCTTCAACTTGATTGCTTGGAAAAGAAATAATAACAAGTGAATACAGTGGGAATTTCAACTAACCCCATGGCAACGCTTGTTTTCATGAAACATCATGGTGGTGATGCCACAAATATAAAGTAAAATTGCCTTCCATCTCTGTGTTCACATTTTCTTTGTGGGAGGGTTTGCAGGTTCTACAGAGTCTCTGAAAGTCTTTTAAAAAAGGAATTTACCAGATTTTATGCTTTATCACCTTTCAGAAAATAATAGAACTTCTCTACTTAGGCCTTTATCATTTTTGCTATCAAAAACTTTTAATAAATTATTAGTGGATTAAATAAATAATTACTGAAGGCCAAGCATTCTGCTAGATGTTCTGCCAAAAATAAAGATGCCCAAACAACTGTAAACATTTATCCACCTACTAACACACCATCAAAATATACAAAGCAAATAGAGAATTGAAGGGAGAAACACACAGTTCTATAATAATAGTTGGAGACTTCAATATTCCACTCTCAATAATGGATAGAACAACTAGATAGAAGATAACTAAGGAAATAGAAAACTTAATAAATTAAATAAACTAGATTTAACATTTACAGAACACTCTACCCAACAACAGCATACACATTCTCCAGTGCACATGGGACATTTTCCAGGATAGACTATATGTTAGGCCACAGATTAAGTCTTTATTTTTTTATTTAAAAAATTTATATTTTGAGAGAGGGACAGAGATTGGCAAGTGTGCTGGGGGAGAGGAAGTGAGAGAATCCTCAAGCAAACTCCCCACTGAGCATGGAGCCTGATGCCAGACTTGATCCCAGGACCCTAAGATCATGACCTGAGCTGAAATCAAGAGCTGGCTGCTTAACCAACTGAGCCACCCAGGCAGCCCAAGTCTCAGCTGATTTTAAAAGATGGATATCATACAAGGTACCTTATCTGACCACAACAGAATGAAGGTAGAAATCAATAACAGAGGTAAAACAGGAAAATTCACAAATCTATGTGAATTAACACACTCTTTAATAACCAACGGACCAAAGAAATCAGAAGGGAAATTAGAAAATATTTAGAGATGAATTTCAACAAAATTATAGCATATCAAACCTATGAGATACAGCTAAATCAGTGCTAAGGGGGAAATTTATAATTATAAACACATTAACAAAACAAGACAGATCTCAAATCATCAACCTAACTTTGTAACTTAAGGAACTAGAAAAAGAAGAACAAACTATACTCATAATTAGCAGAAGGAAGGAAATAAAGATTAGAGCAGAGATGAATAAAATTGAAAATAGAAAAACAACAGAAAAAACAATGAAACCAAAAGTGATTCTTTCAAAAGATCAACAAAGATTGACCAAACTTTAGCTAGATGGACTAAGAAAAAAAGAGGAGACTCAAATTATTAAAATCGGAAATGAAAGTGGAGCATTACTACTGATTCTACAGAAATAAAAAAGGATTTATTAAGAGAGTGCTCTAGGGCGCCTGGGTGGCTCAGTTGGTTAAGCGACTGCCTTCGGCTCAGGTCATGATCCCAGAGTCCTGGGATCAAGTCCCACATCGGGCTCCTGGCTCAGCAGGGAGCCTGCTTCTCCATCTGACCCTCTCCCCTTTCATGCTGTTTCTCCTCACTCTCTCTCAAATAAATAAATAAATAAAATCTTTAAAAAAAAAATGAGAGTGCTCTAAAAAGTTGTATGCCAACAAACCGGATATTCTAGCTGAAATGGACAAATTCCAGAAACACAAAACCTACCAAGACTGTCATGAAGAAACAAAATCTGAATAGACCAATGACTAGTAAGGAGATTGAATCAGTAATCAAAAAACTCTTGACAAAGAAAAGCCCAGGACCAGATGGCATCACAGGTGAATTCTACCAGACATTTAAAAATTAATATCAATATTTCTCAAACTTTTCCAAAAATTGAAAAGGAGGGAATACTTCCTAACTCATTTTGTGAGGCTACCATTACCTTGACACAAAAGCCAGGCCAAGACACTACAAGAAAAACAAATTAAACAAACAAACCTGTAGACCAATATTCCTAATGCACATTAATATAAAAATCCTCAACAAAATACTAACAAACTGAATTCAGCAAAGTATTAAAAGGATTATACACCCTGAACAAGTGGGTTTACTCCTAGAATGCAAGAAAGGACCAATATATGAAAATTGATCAATATATCACATTAAAGAATGAAGAAAAAAATCACACAATTGAGGGAGGAGCAAGATGGCGGAGGAGTAGGAGACCTGGATTTCGTCTGGTCTCAGGAATTCAGCTGGATAGGGATCAAACCATTCTGAACACCTACAAACTCAAAAGGAGATTGAAGAAAGGAATAGCAACAACTCTCTCATCAGAAAAGCGACCACTTTCTGGAAGGTAGGACGTG